AGGAGGTGATTTACAGGGTAGCCCCGGTGGCACAGTGGTTAAGAGCCTGGCTGCTGGCCAAAAGGTCAGCAGTTCAAATCCACCAGCCAATCCTTAGAAACCCTATGGGGCAGTTGTACTCTGTCTTATAGGGTTGCTATGAGTTGGAATCGACTCAATGGCAATGGTGTTTTTTTTGGTTGTGTGTCTCCAGGATCTGGTTGGCTGTGGGTAGTTCTGCTGTATCTTCTTCTCCTTGCTGGTGTTCATGGCCACCCCTGCACCCCTTTATTTCAGTGGACCAGCTACTACAACCTGTAGTTGGTTTAAAACCAATGTATTACACTTGGAAATCCATTAGCTTGTTTTCTAAACTATTTAAACACTAATTACAGCTGATTAATACAAAATTAGAACCTTACAAATCAAATTTCTTTAAGAATTTACACCCTTAGTCAAATTGTCCTGTTTCAATGTAACTGTGAGTTGGGTGGTGTAAATGGTTAAGCGCTCAATTAATAACTGACAGATTGATGATTCAAGCTCACTCAGAGGTGCCTCAGAAGAAAGTCCTGGTGATCTGCTTCTGAAACGTCACAGCCTTGAAAACCCTATGGAGCACAGTTTTACTCTGAACGCATGGGATCCATGAGTTGGAATCTTCTCAGTGGCAACTGGCTTTGTTTAAAATGCTGATTTGGTGTTTGGGTTTCAAACACCTTGGAAAAAATCACTATTACTATACTTAAACATATTTGTAAAGTCAGTTTTTGATTTAATTTTATTATCTCCGTAACACTTATTTTGTACTTTTCCAGGATTGCAGTTTTCAAACTCAAAAGAGAAAGATTATCTCCTTCCCAGAAGCACTAAGTCATAGCCTCTGGACTGATGGATTCTAGGATAGGACACACTATTCTACAAGGTGACTCAAATTTCCCAGTCAGGGATCCCTCTGTTAGCCCAGGTTCACCTGCTCTGCCAATGGGATTTTTAGGCATTTTCTTGCAATCTTCACCCCTGTGTACATTAAGTCTTGGGTACATGATGCTCTGCCTCAGTTTATGATTAACTTCATTAACATTTCATTATAATTAGCAGGGTCATATAGCAGTTTAATCTATCAGCTATTCTCCCAGGGGATTTGGTTAATCCATTAACTTGCAACACAAATTGTTGAACCCTCTTTCTACCTGGTGATTTATGAAACCACTTGTCCTAACCTGCCCTTCTTGGTTTTAGTACAGTACCTACGCTTTCTGGGAACATTTGACTTACTCATAGTTACCTTGTCTGCCCTTCTCAACTATACAGATATACAGTTTTAGAAACAGACATACAGAACTTCGAGTAAGAAACAGAACCCCATTTATGCCAAAATCACCTACTTATTAAAATATTCTATATTATTTACCATTTCTTTGAATTACCACCAGCTTTGTGATTACAGTTGTATGTGTATTTTTGCACACATAATGTTAATTTTTTTCAAGTGTCATTAAGGAGTTTTTGTAGACTCAGCTTGTACTAGTAATCTGCTGTTGTCCTTTGTGATATGAAGATTGTCACAACCTGGCCAAAGGGAGATCCTTCTCAGCGGATTCCTTTGTTCTTTAGTCCAGAATTTTTTCCAGCATCTTGGTTTTCTGACAATACCAAGATGTTTCGGGCTCATTCTGATTTTCCCCAGTCCCAAACATGGAATTATCTTCTTTTGAAGAAGACCTGGTTACTGGTAGTGAAAAATACTATTGTTGTTGTGTGCCCTTGAGTTGATTCTGACTCACAGTGACCTCATAGGACAGAATAGAACTGCCCCATCGGGTTTCCTAGACTGAAATCTTTACGGGAGAAGATTGCAAGGTCTTTTCTCCCACAGAGCTGCTGACTGGGTTCAAACTGCATACAGATGGTGCCACAAGCGGACTGACGATGAGAGGCAAACTATGGCCACTGAACATACAGAGCTGGGAAAGATGCTACTTCCTGAAGGCCTAATGTTCACAGTATATTGCTCTTAGAGTTCTACATTACTAAACTATTTAAACAGTAATGGGGCAGTTCTATCCTTTAATACAATTTTTAAATTTTCTCTACAACGTGCCAGTTTAGATTCTTAACACTTCACCCAAACTGTGATTATCCCCACCTCTGACTTTACTACTTTGAGTCAAGGACCATTATTTTAAGGTGACCCGTATGTATCTTCTATCCAAACCTGCTTTTAAGACGGCATCTTATAAAATAATGTGCACAAATTATTCAGTTTGTATGTAAATGCAGGTTTGTCATAGAGCTATTGGTTATAATTATAAAATTGACACTAAAATACTCAATTGTTTTTATCATATAACTAAACGCCATTTCATGTCGATAAATTTATTGACACAAATTCATTCATAAGCTGGCTTTTCGAGGCTGACTGCCCACAGTGGGCTCGCCAGGAAGCTGATCTTCCCTAGGAACCCTCATGGATGTAGAGTGCAATTAATTATATAATTTTGAACAATTTACCTTTAACTCTACTAATGCTTCTTCATTAATTGACAGCAAACTGGCAAATGGAAGGTATAAAAATGTTTGGTGAGTGAAAATGTACAAACCACTCAGCAAGGCGATGGAAATGTCAGGTGTGAAACTCGTCTCTATTTACAAATCTGGATTCCTTGTGGAAAAGGACCGTTTCTCAGTCATTTCCACATGCCTATGGCCAGTGCAATTTTTAGTAATAATGGGCGCTCAGTAACTCTTCTTTGAATGATGAATGGATAGATGGATGAAAATGCCATGGGAATAATAAAATCATAGATATCCAAAGAATTAACCCAGAGCCATCACCCATAGTCCAGTTTCTTTTCGTAATTTGACTTTATAAATATTCTGAGGTAACTGGGTTGTGAGATAAATTTTGAATTGCTTCATTTCCAAAATTCATTTTGGTCACAATATCCAGGAGCAATCCATCTGCTAATCAATAAATCCCATTTAAATGCTGTCTCAAGAAAAGCAACCCAGCACAAAACCAATATTGTCAGCCATTCAGAAGAACTCTGATTTCCTGACAGAAATCAATTCACAGCAAAAGTGATTGTTGTTAAGTGTGTAGTTCTAAAAGGAGATACCCATCAGTGTAGCTTTCTGAGCAGTTTATTTCCCAACAAAAGACCGTGATGGGCCCCACGAAGCCATCTATCTTCTCGTGACGTGGGATGTGGTGAGTGTGTAGCTATAACTCTGTGGTTGTCTTAAAATTGGCTCTTTTTTGGGGGGCATGTCATCTAGTTCACCTCAGTTGACAAAATGGTGGACAATCACACAATACTGGGAATCATGGACTAGCCAAGTTGACAGGTATTTTGGGGGGACACAATTCAATCCATAACATCTGGTTGTATCCTGGATGGTTAATATGGTAAACTGGGAAGAACGGGGTGCTGACAGGCCACACTGGCCTGCTGTGTGTTCTCAGAAAGTCACATCACCTCTCTGAACATTTGAACATTCCTTTTCTCATCTGGGGGAAAAAAAGATCTGTCCAAGTCAATCCCTCAAGTTGTAAGGATGAAATGAGGGGGAACCTCTGAACATACATTTAATCAACGGGGAAAATGTGAGGTCTTATGATGACTCTTTCTGTCTCAGTCATCTAGTGCTGCTGTAACAGAAATACTGCAAGTGGATGGCTTTAACAAAGAGAAATTTTTTCTCTCACAGTCCAGTAGGCTACAAGTCCAAATTCAGGGCATCAGCTCCAGGAGGCAGCTTTCTCTGTCGGCTCTGGAGGAAGGTCCTTGTGATGCATCAGTCTTCTCTTGGTCTGGGAGCAGCTCAGCGCAGGAATCTCAGGTTCAAAGGATGTGCCCTGCTCCCGGCGGGGCTTTCTTGGTCTTATGAGGTCCCCAGCTCTCTGCTTGCTTCCCTTTCCTTTTATGGCTTGTAAGATAAAAGGTGGTGCAGGCCACACCCCAGGGAAATACCCTTTACATTGGATCAGGGATGTGACCTTAGTAAGGGTGTTACAATCCCACCCTAATCCTCTTTAACATAAAATTACAATCACAAAATGGAGGACAACCACACAATACTGGGAATCATGGCCCAGCCAAATTGATACATACATCATTCAATCCATGACAATCTCCAAGGACATGATTAAGGAGCAAGGCAAAAAGCCTTCTAAGAAATCAGATGAGCCATCTCAAAGCCCCAGGCCCATGGGATTTTGTACTGAAAAATAAGTAACAATGGGAACAATTGTGCTCACTCAGTAACGTTACTATGATACAGACTCTAAAAAGTGAAGACGAAAAAGACCTATCTAGTCTCCGCGCCAAGAAGCTTATGGTCTAGTGAGGAAGAAGACTGGGCAAATAAATAAATGTAACTCTGGGTGGGGAATAGTGCAAGGTGAGTATGACCCAGAACACACAAGCTCTGGCTTCAAGGTTGTTTTGAAGGAAAATTTCATCATGCTGAGCAGGAACCAAAACTAGCTCCTGTCACGTAGACTCTGACTCATGTGTATCAGAGTAGAACTGTGCTCTAGTGTTTTCAGTGGCTGGTTTTTTGGAAGCAGATCTCCAGGCCTTTCTTTTGAGGTGCTTTTGGGTGGGCTTGAATCTCAAACCTTTTGATTAGCAGCCCAGCAAGTTAATTTACAACCCAGGGATTCCTAAGGCGGGGGGTTATTCCAGGAAAAGACACATATAGGTGAAGACTAGCATTTCAGGGGAACCATAAAAACAGTGTTTCCCAAACTTCAGTAACTCAAAGTGCACCTTTACAATTTTTTTTGCCATGTCCCTGCACCATTTGTACCATTTGCTTTAAATTGACTTACTTTTAAAAATGTAAATAAGTTTGACAAGAAAACTTTGTATTACTACCAAAAATGAAAAAAATCATTATCATTTGCTATAAAAAGAAGGTAACCTGAAAAAAAAAAAAAAATAGAAATCCCACAGGAAACACAAACATTAATTTATTCGACAAATAATTGTGTCAGGCTCAGTTCTAGGTTCTGGGGCTAAAGGGGGGAGCAGACAGCCAGAATTAAGCAATTGAGATGAATTAAGTTCAGATGGTAACAGACACCCTGTAGAAAACAAAGTGACACAGGAAGATCACTCCAGGTGGGGTGGTCGGGGACGGCCCCCTTTGAGGCGTCATCTGATCTGAAGCTAGTGACACACAGCTTAACGTCCAAAAGGAAAACGAGTCACCGAATTTCAAGCGTAGTCGCCGCTGAAGCTCTGGGCAGGATTCGGGAAATAAGCAGGTGTTAGAGGCGTGCTCACTCACACTCAACTGAGACTTTCTGCAAAGACAGAAAGACGCCAAGAGAAGGGAGCACCTCTCACGATGTGACTCCAGGATGTTTAATTCTGTCTCTACCAACTTAAATCAAATGGGGGCCCCAACGGAGAGCACCTCGCTCTCCAAGAAACGCCGCAACACAGAACGTGGGGATGGAGGCAAGTTGTAACGACCCCGGCTCACAAGTTAGTTCACCGAGGCCAGGGAAAGTCAAACCGCTGGCCCAGGGCAGGCCGGGGACTGGAACCCTGGACGCTGCTCCCACGTCCCGTCCCGGAGGGTCCAGAATAGGTGGCTCCCAGCGCGGGCTGGAGGATGAGGCTCCGGGCGGAACTGGGACGTCTCTCAATCCTGCGATCCGTACTCCAGGTCTCCCGGTGGCCCGGGAGAGCCCAAAACGCGGAACAGCGGATCCCCGGAGCGGAATAAAAAGCGCGGCTACAGGACATGAGCATGCGCAGTAGCCCGGCCCAGAGAGGCCTTGCGAGGCGCTGGGGGAGGGTCATCCGAAACTGACGTTCACTACGTCGGCGTCAGCGCCCCGTAGGGAGGAGGGCGACGACTCCATCCGCCATGTTGGATGCCGCAGATTCGCCATAAGCTCGCCGGCTCTTTTCTTAAAAAAATAAAAATAAAAAGCGAAGCATCAGCGGGTCACCCCGCCTTCTCGGTCGGCACAGGACGGGGCCCGGAAGAGCCCGAGGCTTTTTTTTCCTCTGCGGTGGGGGCGTTGCCATGGAGACGCAGGAGGCAGGTGAGCCGGGCTGGGGGTTGGGGTGGGGTGGGGGTGGGGCGCGGCGCAGCGCGGGAAGCCGTTTCGAGCGTGGAGTCGGGAAGAAGCGCGCAGGCCGCCGAACGGCGGAGGGATCCTTGGCCCAGGGCGGAGAGCGAACGTTGCGGCGTCCTTCGAGAGTTGCTAGCGGTATCCTGCCGCCTTGGGTTTTTGTTAAAAAAAAAAAAAGTAACGAACGAGCGAGAGAGAGTGCGCGACGCGAAAAGCAGTGCTGCGCGTGCGCAGGGGATGTCGTTTCTAGGGCAACGGCTGGGGAGCGCACCAGCGACGGAGCGTTGGTGTCCTGGGGGCGGGAGGTTCGAATCCCCGTGGTGCTAACGCTGGTTGAGTGGACCTTTGGCGGAACCTCTTCCTGCCTGGCCTCAGTTTTGTCATCTGCGAAAAGGGTAGTTTCTTTAATTATTAGACCAACGTACTTGTCAGGATGTCGTGAAGGGTCAGGGCTCAATTGAGCTGGTGAAGGAAACGTTTCTTTGTGTCCTGTAACCAAAAACCAAACCAAACCCATTGCGATCAAGTCAGTTCCGATTCATGGCGACTCCCAGTGTTACTAAGTGGAACTTGGCTGTAATCTTTATGGAAGTAGATTGCGAGGCCTTTCTTCTGTGGTGCTGCTGGATGGGTTCTTAGACCTGCTTGTACCACCCAGGGACCCCTTGTGTCCTATGTTGTTGTTGGGTGCTGTCGATACATAGCGACCCCATGTGGCACAGTAAAACTGCTCCATAGGGTTTTGTCTTTGGCACACAACAACAGCAATCTTTATGGAAGCAGATCACCAGGTAGGTTTTTCTCCTGCAGAGCAGATGGGTGTGTTGTACACCAGGGCTTCTATAAACGGAGCTATAAACACAGGGATTATCATTGTTGTGGTAATCATGTAACGTGCTGTGATATGGTACAATTTAACTTCTGCTAGCCGCCCAGCTCTGCAGTGTTGTTACTCACCCCGTAAACTCAGATGCCACCTCCTCCAGGCAGATGTCTCTGAGTTCCCAGCCAGAAGCAACCATTCTGTCGGCTGGACCCTCAGAGTACCTGAATCTGAAGAGTCTGATGGACGTTCCACTTACCACAGGCACAAGTCACTTAACCTTGAGCTGTGGGCCCCTCATCTCTAACAGGAGCACCCACGCTTGGGCGCTGCACACCTTTTGCTGCTTAGTTCTCAAGACTCTAATTAGTAGGTCATTTACTGATGAGGGAGCCCCGGTGACTCAGTGGTTAAGAGCTCAACTCCTAACCAAAAGGTCAACAGTTCAAATCCACCAGCCACTCCTGCTTTGTCCTGTAGTGTCGCTGTGAGTTGGAATGGACTCATGAGGAACAAAGTTCAGAGAAGTCAACATCATGTAGTTTTACAATGGCAGAACTAAGGCTTTAGGCCAGTTTCTTCCACTTGTGGAAGAAAATCCAAACTCCTGCATGCCTGCCTGACTCATACCTCCATCCCTTAGAATACTGCTGGCGTGCCATCCTTTCTGAAATGCATATGTCATGTAGTCCTTGGGGCTTACCCTCCACAACTGTCCCTCTCCAGTTTCATCTCTCTCAGTCTACCGTTTCCTCCATGGAAACATCTGTAGTGAGTGTGCCCCGTGTCGAGGGGTGGAGAAGACAGGGAGGTCCATGCCCTCCTGAGCTTACCTTTGGTGGCTGTTTTGTGTCACCACTGTTCCCCAACCTACTCCCCCCTCCCCCGCAAGAGGCACCTTTCTTGACAGAGGTAAAAAGCAGTGCGGGCTATTAAAATAAAAATCATATTAAGCCAATTATAGAAATGGATTGAAGTTTATTTAATATACTATTTGCAAATCAGGGTAACATTTTGACTAGAGAGTCAAAAATGTTCCAAAGATGAGAAGAACTTCCAGAATTCTTATACCACATCTTCTCTGCAGTGCCATGGAAATGGGGAGGGGACAGAGCAGTATATAATAATAATTTACCCTAAAACACAGCTTCCAGTCAAACCCTGGAGTTCCTGTTTCTGAAAACCAAATATAGATGCTTTTCCAAAGCCCAATGCCTAAGGCAAAAAGATTTCCACTAAGCTGCTTACTAGGCTATTGTTTGACTTAAAGGTGACTTTAGAAAACTGGTTTATTTCAAGGCTCAAGGTTCAAAGGGACACTGTCTTAGTTATCTAGTGCTCCTATAGCAGAAATACCACAAGTGGACAGCTCTAACAAATTTATTCTCTCACAGTTTAGGAGGCTAGAAGTCCGAATTCAGGGTGCCAGCTCTAGGGGAAGGCTTTCTCTCTCTGTCAGCTCTGGGGGAAGGTCCTTGTCATCAATCGTCCCCTGTTCTAGGAGCTTCTCAGCACAGGGAGCTTGGGTCCAAAGGGTGCACTATTCTCCTGGCTCTTCTTTCTTGGTGGTATAAGATCCCCCTCCTCTCTGCTCCCTTCTGTCTTTTATATCTCAAAAGAGATCGACCCAAGTACAACCTAATCCTCTAGATTGTGTCCCGCCTCATTAATATAAGTGCCTTTGATCCTGCCTTGTTAATATCATAGAAGTTAGGATTTACAACACATAGGATAATTACATCAGATCACAAAAAGGAGGACAACCACACAATACTGGGAATCATGGCCTAGCCAAGTTGATACGTATTTTGGGAGGACACAATTCAATCCATAACAGACACCTAAGGACAAGTGGTCTGGGTAGGTCACCCCAACTCCATGGGCCCAGAAATCTGGATTCCAGGAGTATTAGAACGGTTGTGGCAGAGGTACCTGTGGGTTTAGTGGAGTGACGGAGCTGGCACAAAGCCAGAGCAGTGGGCTGGGACCCCTGAGCTGTGCTGGGCATGCCTTTGTAAAAAATAACTTCTTATTGATTTGGTGTCTGCCCTCCTGATGTCATTCTGCCACTGCTGAGACATAGAATGAACTTTGCACCTCTCCTCTTCTGGAATTTACTCACTGTTTTAAAAAAATGTCCTGGGCGCGTCTGTTGTCGTTTCTTTTCAATTGCCAGCTGTAACAAATGAGAAAAGATCACGTTATGAAGCATTTAGTAGGTAACTTCTGAAAAGAGTGTCCTATTTTGTTTGGTTGTGAGGTTAATTTCAGAGAGGCAGTACAATAAGTGATAATGAGAGGGAGTTGCATGTGGTTGGGAAGGTACAGGTTTTAGGTGGAAAAACAGTTGATATAGTCATAGTTGTAAATTTATTAATGCATTGCTTTCTTCTCAGCCAGCTTCTCATTGGCCTCTGGTGAAATGCTTCCTGTCTCTTTTTTTCTCATACCTTATAATTTACATAACCACTTTTCAAAGATTGCTATCCTTACGTAGAATTAAATTTCTGCCTAGGGCAAGGGCAGTCAAGGATTAGATGTATGAAAAAGTCTCTCCTTGATTGCATTTCCTTTTATAGGGAGTTTCATGTGTGCCCCCTCAGAAAACCTACCCACCTACAAGGGTTGATTTAATTATGTAGAAGGGATTTAGCCTAGAGTTAAGTTTTCCTTCTGTTTTCAGCTGTTTACTCTGTTCAACTTTCACTGTCTTTGGAATTTCTCAAGGGCAGGCATTAGCTTTGAGGGCTGGAACATTTCTGAGGGTGGAAAGAACGGGTGCTCTGGCCTCTGAGGATGTACAGTAAGGTGCCCTGTGCACCACTCAGGAAATGTTAATTGTCCCTACCCAACCCAGGACCAGTTCCGTTCATTGTCACCTGCTTACTGCTTGTAAGCGTTTGTGGATACAAAGATGGGACAGAGTTTGTTTAATTTTAATTTTTTTGGTGGCCTTTTATCTTATTTTTAAAATTGGATTGCTTCTCTTTTTGCTATTGAGTTGTAGGAGTTCTCTATATATTCTGGATACAAGTCTTTTGCCATATATATGTGTTGCGAATATTTTTCTCCCAGTCTCTGCTTTCTTCCTCTTTTTTTTTTTTTTTTAATATATTTTGCTTTTTTGGGTAGTGCTTTTTGTGACCTAAGAAATCTTTTCCTACCTTACAGTCATGAAGACATTCGCCTAGGTTTTTTGTTTTGTTTTGAGTCAGAATCAACTTGATGGTAATGTTGTTTTTATACTTTTTGCTTTTAGGTTTAGGCCTACGATCTATCTTAATTTAGTTTCTGTGTATGGTGTGAGGTAGGGGTTGAGGTTTTTGTTTTGTTTTGTTTCCCTTCATGTGAATGTCCAGTTTTTCCAGCCTTGTTTGTTGAAAATACTTTCCTTTCTCCTTCGAATTCCTTTGGCCCTGTTGTTGAAAGTCCTGTGTGAGCCCATTTCTGGGCTCTCTGGTCTGTCCCATCGATCTGTTTGGCTATCCTTCACCAGTATCACATTGTCCTGATTATTGTAGTTTTGTAGCAGTTTTTACAGTTATAAAGAGAAAGTAGGAGGTGAGTTTTGGAGGGGCAAAAATGCAGGTGGGAGAGAGACAGTCAGGAGGCGGCATAGTGGTGCAGTTGTGGGTTGATGATACTCATCCTTGGCTGTAGCTGTGGAGTGGAGACAAAGTTATGAGGAAAGGTGCAGGGGACTAGTGATTGAGGGAGTTTTACCTTAGAGACCAGCAAGCCTTCCATCTAATGCTTGTTGTTAGGGAAAGAGGGGAATGATGAATGTAACAGGCACACGGACAGGTAGATCTAGGGTTACTGTAGGCAGCCCTGGTCTTCAGTTTTCAGTTCCCTCCTGTGGTGGTGGCAAGAAGCCCCTTTTGAATTCTGCCTCCTGTTTTTATTCCTGAGTTGGGCCAGGTGGTTGGTGTGGGGCTTGCCAGGTTCTGCCTGCACCTCGGAAGACCCTTCCTGGAGACTGAGCTCCTGGGGCTGAATGTCACCTGCCTCCAAGCCTCAGGAGGGCCTTGGACTTCCTTGGGCCATCGAGAGGCTGGGGACACTAGGGACTCTGGGACTCTGTCCTGACCAGCAGTGAACCTCACCTCAGGCACTCCTCACCTCGGGTTATAGGCAGGGAACCAAG